TGCCCATTGCCCCTTGTCCTGTCACTGGGCACCACCGAAAAGAGCCCAACCCCATCCATTTGGCCCCCACATTTCAGATATTTATAGACATTGATCAGATCCCCTCTCAGGCTGCTCTTCTCCAGGCTGAACAGTCCCAGCTCTCTCAGCCTCTCCTCACACGGGAGATGCTCCAGCCCCTCATCATCTCTGTGGCCTCTGCTGGACTCTCTCCAGAAGATCCCTGTCCCTCTTGAACTGGGGAGCCCAGAACTGGACACAGGACTCCAGATGTGGCCTCACCAGAGCAGAGCAGAGGGGCAGGAGAACCTCCCTTGACCTGCTGGCCACAGTCTTCTCAATGCCCCCCAGGAGAACATTGGCCTTCCTGGCTTAGCCAGAGCAGATTGTGAATGGTGCAATTTGTACTGGTTGGGACAAAACCCAGAAGCTCCTGCAAGGCAGCGCTGGGTCAGGGATACCCTCACAGCGGCCAGAAGCACCTAGCACATTTCTGTCCTTGTTTAAATCAGACTCCCCAGCTGAACAGGGAGGGCTGTCAGCTTGCCAGCAACACTCATAACAGGTTTGCTACTTTAGGAAAGAAAAGAAAGAAAAAAAAAGTCTAAAAAGAGTTGGAGGAGGAGCAGTGTGCTGTTGCTTACCATTTTTCAACAATTTTCAGCGCATCTCTGGACACTGGCATTTTCACATAATGGCTAAATATCCTCTTTATCAAGCTACTGGCTATTTCAGGCTCACAAGTTTTCTTCCGTGCCCGTCCCGAGCTCTTTGGAACCGGCTTAGCCCGCAGCGGCTGCCGGGGAGACCTTCGGGGGAAATTAAAAATTCACACAGCAAATGAACAAACCCAGGGGAAAGGCAGAGAACAGCGGGCTGAGTTTGGGCCAACCCGAAGGGGTACAACTGCCTCAAGCTCTTAATTCTTTCTCCTTCCCAATTCTTCAAAACCCTCATGCCCATGAAGTAGAGTTTGCAAACAGTCCCCATGGCATTAGGGCCTCGGGAGGAGCAACCCAGGCTCATGTTTCCCGAGATAAGCAGGCCAGCCTAACAACTAATCACCAAACTGTAGTCCTCTCCAACACACAAACGCAGTTTGCACTGCACCCCTGTAGCTCTCACCCTCCAAAAAAAGTCGTATGGATCCGCAGGCCACCACTGTATCTGCTGACAGGACAGTCTCATCTGTGGGATATACTCAATAATTTTTGCCTGTGGATGAGACTCACCAGAAGTTCCTCTTTTGATACAATCTCCTTCCACAGGACAGATATCCACAACAACTTTTATACCATTAAGAACATTTTGTTTAGTGGGGTCTTATGGGGTTTGGTTGGTTGGTTTGGTTTTTTCCCTTAAACAAGACTGGAAGCCCCAAAGGAAATAACAACTGTTTTCCATTCTAAAAAGGAAAACCTGTTACACAAAAAGGGAAGCGAAATCCCCGGCTGCATTCAGCAGACAAGTGGGAAACAACAGAAAAGACCTGGAATCTCAGGATACAAACCCCACAGAGGGAGTGTGTGTATCATTTGATTCTCTCTCCAGCCCACCTGCACGTTTCTCTGCCAGAGCCTGAGGGGCAGCTGGAGATCAGCCCCAGAGATGGAGTATGTGTAGGAGTGAGAAAAAACCAGTCATTATTTAAGTCATCTCAGTTACTGTTTCTGTGCCTCAGTTTACCTGACTGTAAATGATTATATATGAGTGACTGGTTCGCAGGATCAGGGCAAAGCTGAAGTTTAATGACTGTATGAGACTTTGGTGTTCCTAAATTAAAAGTTCTGTGGCCCTAATCTGGTAGAGTTGATCACAGTAGAACTGTACCAGTATAAAGAGACTATTTTACAGCAGAAAGCCCTGACCATGGCTCCCACGTGGTTATTGCTCCACTACACAACCTCGAGTATTTCCTCAGGCTTTTTAGCAGGCCAACTCGGGCTCAGACTGCATCACATGAAGTGGAAACAAACTGCATTTTCTGTGCAACAGCTTCCTGTAGCCTAAGGCCTGATCCTGGAATTATGATCATCTATTATCTCACCACAGCTTGAAAGCCTGAAAATCTGGCAGTCTAATAATGTCCAGAAATTCCTACAGAGAACATGCATCCGAATATAGACTCCTTCTGCCAGTGAGGACTAGCGCTCTCTACAGAAGAATAGGAATTCAGATGTTCCCTATATATATATATTATATATAAAGAGCAGGTCCCAGTGCAAAATCCCAAAGCCAACCTGTACTCATTCAGTTCCACTTCAGCAGAGTATCAAAGACTCCTTTTTCTATTTTACAAACATAATTTTATTGTTCATGGTCAGAGCAATCACCTGGCACCTTCTGTAAGCACCATCCATCTCTGTTCACAGCAGGAAAGGGCACAAGAATTTGGCTTTACTGTCGACTGCTTCAATAAACAAAAATCTAGAGTCAAGGGCTAGAAAATTCCTCCTGTTTCCTGGGAGCACTGTTAGTGGTTCTCATGAAGCATTCAGCTTCACTAAATTTCTGCCTAAGAGGGTGATAAATGTTAATTAATTTGGAATAATGCAGAGGACAAGTTCACTTTCTGCCTCTGGGTGAGCTTCATTTCCTACTCGGCACATGGCAACCGCATACAGCTTTAGCTTTACAGAGTCAATACAAATATGTCATTTCTTGTGATCAGTGTAACATAACCTGTAATTCACCCTCTTCTGCAAGGGCCTCTGCACCCCATACTGGAGTCTGTGGCTCTGGGGTAGTTCATCGGTTGAAAAACTCCTAGGAAAAGGGTTTGGCCTTCAGCACAAAAAAAATATGAGAATGTTCATTGGAAAGATGTGAGGTGTGAGATTTGCTCTGGGCAAGTACTGACATTCACCTGACAGAGCTCTTTATTCACCTGCTGAAGTGGTGAAGGAACTATAAAGACATCAGGACTGATACTCCCTGCTACAGCCAGTACAACAGCTGACAAAGCCAGGCTCAGCTCCCTCCCCTCCACTTCCACCCGGCCACTGCTGAAGGCGCTTACACTCACCTGAACTTTGCAGGACGTGGAGCTGACAACTTGGGAGCAGCAGGTTTTGCAGGACGTGGAGTTGACAGCAGTGGCTTGTTGGCTGCAGCACGGACAAACGCAGGTGTCTTCATGGAAACCTCTAGGGGAAAAAAAACAGTCCTTGTGGAGCTGAAGGCCGTGCTGAGAGTTCCTGCAGTGCTGCAGCACCAGCCAGAAGCCCAGACAGCTTCCCACACGCCTGGTCCGGTGCCATGCTGCTTGTGCTCAGGCTGTGGCTCCACGTCACCCTGACTGCTGTCTGTGACAGTTCCACCCATCCCACCCCCTGCCACACAGGCTGGTGGCTTCCCTCATGCCAGGTCCAGCCCAGCAGCCCCAGTGCTGGACCAGCAGGCTGGGCAGGGTGAGGAACACACGCTGGGGGACATGCTGCAAGGGCTGACTTCAGCTGCCAAGAAGCTGCAGCCTCTTTTCCCAGAGAGAGCTTCAAAGTCTGCAAACTACCTCACTGCCACCCTGCTAAATCACCAGCCAGTTCTCCTGCACACAGGGGTGAGCAGGCCAACAAAATCACATTACAAGGCTCAGTCTGTGAGCATCTCCCATGTTCACAGATTTCCATACATTCCCTCAGGCTCAGGTTACAGTCACCTCCTCACCTCTTCTTTGCTGTGAACTACCCACATCAGTTTCCTCCAAGTCTAATCTGCTTCCTCAAACTACACTCTTGAACTTCTTCACAAGCAAGGGCAGGAAAGAAAACCACATACTGAGCAGCCTCCTGTCTAGAAGGAGTGGTCATGGAGGGCTTCTTGCCTGCCAGCTTCCCTGGCACACTGAGCACAGCCCAAGAATCCAGTACATCTGGTAATGGTGCCACCTTGCAACCCTCCCCAAGAGCTAGGACAGCTGCCCAGTTACAGATGACAAGCTCAACTACTAGAGGCCTCAAGTACTACTGGGAGTTAAACTCCACAACTCAGAGGTCGTTAGTCTCTCAGAGAAAGCAGGGCTGGGTGAACTACCACGGTTCTTTGCATTAGCTTCTTCTGACGAGATATTTCTGTGTGCTGGAGGGACAAGAAGCAGGATGCAGGGGAAGAGACTAGTTATGTTGAGGTTTCCAAGGGAAGTTTTATGACAAGGGTACATAGTTTTTCATCTTTTCTTCCTGCTTTTCTTCCACTCCTTGTCCAATGAGACCTGTAAGATGTTACTCTTCCTGTTCCACCCTATCAGTAGAGATCTTTTCATCAAGATCTTTCCACCTCTTCATACAGCTGTGTTAAAGTTAAGCATATTGACACATCAGTGTAGGCGCCCTAAGAACACCTACAGCTTTCCCTGTGGCAGAAGTGTCCCAGTTCAACTGTTGTCTTTGTGGCTTCCACGCCGCACAGGCACATACAGGTGTGGATATTCTCGTTACAGCTGTATTTCTCCACAACGTCTGAAATCCTGGCAACAGGATTCTCTTGGGATGTCCCTAGTTCAGTTTTTTATTTCACTGTGTATTGTATTTCAAAAGACTTCAAGATCAGTCCCCAAAGACACCACAAAAACACACTCTGGGCATTCCCAAATGTGGTCTCGATCAAAGCAAACTTGGTCTGATGTATCTGTTCTTCCAAAAGGCATAAGCACCCCTGGGGCAACAGAGCAGACTGACGCAGTGTCTGAAGAACTTTTAGAAACAGACACTTCCTCTCAGCTTTCTGGAAAGCCAGTCTATTCTTTTGGTTAACTGGAAAGGAAATCTGTAACCCCATCAAAAATATGGGGTTCTAAAGTAGGTTTCAAGTCTGGAGTCAAGTAAGTGGCTGTGGAAACAGCAGTGCAATGCCAAACATGAAAAAGTCAGTATGAAGTGAGGAGCCAGGAAGGAAAACACGGAGGTTATCCCTGTGTCACTGTACAAAACCACTTTGCACTCAGTTTTGTCTATTTGTGCACTTCCACCTTCACCTCAGAAACCCCTAGACAATCCAGGTCCCCGAAGCACCTGATGAGCCAGTGACAATCTGGTCCTGGGAACAGCAGCCAGTAGCTCCCCCTGGAATATCTGATGGACTAAACAGTTAATAACGTTACTGACCTGTGTTGTTCCTCAGTCTATCAAGAGATAACAGGGAAAGGTTTCTCCAACTGCCTCTTGCTACTGCTGCAATAATTTTCTTACCTTCACTCTCAGGGTCTTCAGCTTCATCCTCAGTAGGCCCTTCTTCTGGACCATCCAATTCTATCGTGATAGCCTGGTCCTCTAGTTCATCTGCTTGTTCAACAGCTTCCTTCAATGGCTTCATCCCAGATTTTTCAGAGGAGGAAAAAGCATGAGAATGCCTGCTCAGACTTCCAGCTCCAACACCTTTGGCAATTTCACGTTCTAGATTTCCAAAACAGCAGAAATACATCACTGAAACAAGTGTCACAGCCAAAATGTCAAAGCACTCATAAGAATGAAACCCAACTTTCCATTCCTGGCAACGTTGCCACCTATCATATTCCTGTCTTCAAGGATGAGGGTGTCAATACACTAAGCTAGATAAGCTAAAGCACCGATGAATCCTCAACTTTTCCCTCTGCTACATTGAGATGTGCAGAGCTCACACAAAAAAAACAGCACTTGGTAATGTGGAAAAGCCCATGAGATTTGAGTGAAATTTTATCTGTGCTCCTTTTAAATGAACTTCCTTTAATAAGAAATTTCATCTCAGCAGAATTCTTACCAAAGCCTTAGTGCAGCATGGTGAACACAGAAGACCAAGCAATTCAGGAAGAGCAACCTGGGAGATCCTGATTTGCCAACATACTCAGAAGGTCTCCAAGTTTTATCAAATCTTTGCCTGATTTTAGAACTCCCACTAGTAAATTTTAATTAAGCTCACCACAATTATCTATTTCTACGCAGTATTGCAAATATAATTTTGTTTTCCATTTGAGCAGAATGCAGTCTTTCAGCTTAAAATGCCAAAATTAATTTGATATTTCCCCAGCCTTTAGCCCAGATTCCAGAATGCAGAGAGTTAACCAGTCTTTCTCCCAGCACTGATGCCAAGAACGCATCTTGAAAGGTCTCCAGCATCAGAGAGAGGCTTCAGTATTAGAGGTTGTCCTCACCAGTTTCAGGAGAGCCTTGGTGTCCAACACTGCCTTCTGCTGTCCCCTCTTCTTCTGAAGGAGCCAATTCTGTTTCAGCTCTGGCATCCTGTGCCGCAGGCATCTGCAGTTCTGCTTTTTTGCTCAGTTTCTTCTCCAAATATCCAGAATATCTTGCACTAGCATGATGCTCTGCAGCTAAAACAGAAAATTCTATTATCAGTCTTACCTACAAAAAAACCCACTGATCAACCACCAGTAAATAGTTTAACAACTGCTGAAATGTATTCCTGACAAGTAAACTCAGCAATAGCCATAAGCTGTAAATAAGGGAAGCAGACACAGTTCCCTTCCAAAAGTTTGCAGCTGAGAAATGCACAACTTTTCCTGTCTTTGCTCCCAGTCTCCTACTCAGGGTGCTGGTCAGATCCCAGTGAAGGAATTTCACTTCTCAGGAAGCCGAGCTCCTTCAGATCTGCCATCTCTACCTCTAGTCTCCCTTTTGGCCATTGTGTGAAAGATCAATTTCTTTTCCTTCAAGTCTAACAATACACAGAGCTTGTGCTCAGATTCTCCTCCTCGTTTCCTCAGTTGCTCTGAACAAGTTTACACAAGAGACACATGGCATTACAAAGAAGACAGCACCTAGCAGTGGCTTTAACCAACCCAGAGAAGCCTCTAGCAGGAAGGATGAGGAGAAAGAAATGGGACACATGATTTGCATTTCTTTAAAAACTTCAGCTACTGAAGTAGCTACTGAAGAGCACTTAAATCCTCCTTTTCTCTACATCCTAAATCTATAGTCCACATGCCTGTTACCATGTAGCCCAGAAACCCCCACAGGTAATTAATTATTTGGCAAAATCTTACTGGGAACTCTCAGAGTCACTTGCTGAAGGGTTTGGAAACCTTGGCTGAGCCCAAAACCAGAAGCTGTTAAAGTGGATTTTTACTGTCCTTTCCAGTGACTGGGAATTTTCACACTCAAAAGTACAAGTGTCAAGACCTTGGGAGCCCCAAGCCCCAGTGAAGGGGACAAGGAAATTTGGCCAAAGGTGGTGCAAAAATCAGTAATACCTATCTCAGTAGCCAGAACATTGGGGTCCCCACACCAACACTGGGAAAGTCTTGCCTCCAGTTAAGTGAAATATTAACTAGCTTTGTGGGGAGAAGACAAAAGCTCAACGCCCCACTCAGCCTGAAGCAGACAGGCACCAGTGATCGCCCACGCTCCTGGGTCCCTGCTGGGATCCAGCACTTCACCAGTGCAGCACCAGGTGCTACTGATACATTCAAGTCTCAATTTGTAAGGATTTCTCCACCTGTTGCCAGGAGCAATACCTCCTGGGGTTTGGTACCAGCTGCCAGTGCCCGCTCCTCCTCCCTAGTGTCTGCACTGACAGACCAAGGAGCTGTTTGTTTCCCTTTGTTTGCTGAATCACCTCCTCCCTGCTGCTCAAGGCTTTTCTTTCTAAACTCCTTAGATTTCACTCGCATTGTCTTTGTTTTTTCCAGGCTGAGCAGTCCTTATCTTTAGTAATTCAACGTGCAGAAACTGCTCCGTATATTTGATTATTGTTAATGGTAAAACTGCTTTTCTCTGCACCTTCTCCAGTTCTGCTAAATCTGTTTAGAGACGGAGAGGTTAGAACTGCACACAGCACTCAAAGGTGAGCGTGACAGTCGTTTCCACAGTGCCACGGTGACATTTTGGCATCTCTTCCTTTCATCATAATTTTTACACGTTATTTGCTTTTCTGACCACCCCCACCCAAACTGGTGTTCACAGAACTGTAACGATTCTGAGGTGACTTTGAGGAGTCTCAGGAGTCACATCCCATTTAAACTTCACACTCCACAGGGGCACCCAAGTAAAACTGTAACAGGACAAAAGAATTGAGAAACATTACAGGCAATTGTAACTTTAGAGGTGCAGAATATCTGCTGCCTTAATTAACTTCTCTAAAGGACTGTTTAAAACAAAGGGCTGCTTTATCATGATAAAAAGGCGACGTAACTGATTTTACTGCTACACTTGGTACGTGCAAGCAATCACTTATGGGCTCAGTTCAAAATCTGAGTAACAAACCCATGGGTGCCATAGATTGTTCTGTTTCCATACTGCCATAAGGTAACTCAGATGAAACTTCAGGCATAATTAAACCTCAGGAAAGCTAAACCCACATGGTGACGGTCTCTCATTTCTAGACACTGTCAAAGGGAACAATGGGAAACACTTAAAAAGGATCCTGGAGTCTAGAAAATGACATTTCACAACACATGGGAATTTGTGGTGACACATACCCAAAGCTTTAGGCAGTGACACCTGCCAGCCTCAGCGTCTGGGCAGAGACTTTCCTGTCTCATTCTAATGCAAAAGGATTTCAGAGAAAAGTGAGAAAGTGTTTGTAAAAGCAGCAACTTGCACGACTTGCAGGAACAAGGAGGTTTTAAGGCCCAACCTACTAGTGACAATCTTTACTACTTAAGGGAGGGCAACCTTCAAGTCCTTGTCTTCAGAGAAAAAGATGCTGGTTAGTGCTGGAGAAAGATAATGGCCAACATGGCTTAAATAAATACAGTCAAGCATTAAATGTATGCAAACAAAGAGAGTGATTAGCCAGGTGGGTTCCTTCCCAGGAAGGAGCTATTCATCTTTCCTACGGGCAGGTGAGCAGTACTACAGACCTGCCAAAAAACCCCCAAAACAAATCTTTATTCCATGTGCACTCACTGTGAACACAGCAAATACTGACAAGGAAGCACACGAGCGAGTCACAGCCTACTTTCAGAAAGTCTGTCTGGAAATGCTCACAGTGTCTCTGATATAACTTGAATTACATTATCTCCAGCATCTACTGCACAATAAAGTCTTATTTCACTCTGCAAGTCACCTGAAAAACTCTTGGTTCTCCTCAGATTAAAGTACTCCACTCCCTCAACAACACTGAAAGCACTCCTTACCCTCTCTGCAAATCTCCTTCTGTTCCACTTGGTTCACTGCATGAGCCATCTCTTCATCTGCATCGCTTACATCTAGGTCTTCAATTATATGGGACACAACTTCTCTCAAAGACATGCTGAAAGATTTCTTGGGCTTTAGAGTGACTGGGGATCCCAAACATTTACTTGGACTTCTGCATGGCAAAGAGGAGCTCCATCTATCAGCAGCTAGAAATTGAGAGCGTTAATGTTCCCCCAGTGTCTTTTTTTTCCCCCAACTTTCTTTTAGCTTTCCTGAGAGGTAAAAAACCAAGCAAGCAGAGAGAGGAATACACACACAAGAAAACGTTCTACCTTCACTTAAACCAGTTTAGGGAGTTCACATTGTATCTTAGGAACCAGTTGGAAAAGTCCTTGCAACTATTTTTCAGTTCACACTGAGGAGCAACACTGACACCAGCTATCTCTGGGAAACAGAACTGTGTAACCATTAACCTTTGACGTCAATGCCTGACAAACTCCAGCATCTCTGAGATACACTCTCACTCCCCTTCCTCTTCCTCTCATTTGATCCAGTCCCTTATTCCATGTCCTCCACACTTTTCTCCACATTATCTTTCCATTTCCTCTCAAAGTGCCTGCCCCCACCACTGGACTCTTCAGAGCAACTAACCTTTTTTTTTTTTTCCTGTTTCATCTCTTCTCTTGTCAAAAACAACTCTTCCCACCAAGCTTGCCACAAGCAACCCTCCAAAGCACAGAACGGGGCAACAGTCCACCAGGCATTAATTGATTTCTAAGCTTTTCATGGCAAGAACTCCTCTCCCTGCTGGAGCAGTACTGAACACATCAACCATTTTTTCAATGCCATTTCTGTGGCCCTTTTGACAAAGGATCGTTAAAAAAACCTAAATGAAACAGAAACATCAGCTGTCCACAGTTTGAGGAAAGCATAAGGAGTTTTGATTGAAGAACTGCACCTTTCAAGAAGAATCATTCTACCTTTTCCAGAACAATTCTTGTTTGTGTCATTTGCTTGTTTAACCAAGAATGAGCCCACTTTTTGTCAAGGCTTTTGGACACTTGGTACTTGGACCATCATTAAGAAAAACCCAATAACATGGAATAGATCTTTTCCAGATAAAATTTTGACATTTTGTCGTCATGGAATGACTTTCTACTATTTATAGGCCAAAACTTATGCCAGTCTTCTATTTTTAGTCCACAAAAAGTGATTAACAGCTTCACACATTAGAAAATCGCTGGTGAACGTGTAGATTTTGTAGGATACAGCAATGCATTAAAACTGCATTTGAACTGAAGACTGTAAGTTTAACGCAGCAAAGCAGTTGTACAGACACCTAATGTTGCCACCAATTAGTTCTTGTCGAAGTTTATTCTTAAAACTACCATTTTGCTTTTGCAGTGGCTGTATGCCAGCACCTAAAAACACACAGATCAATTTCCTCAGATCACAAAGAATAATTTTTTTAAAAAATTAATTTACCTGAAGCTTCAGCAAATGCCATTTGAATTGCTAAGAAATCTGATGACAGCACAGAACATTTTTGTGCTCTTGATTATGATAAATCTCTACAGCAGATCTTGCCCTGGCTCGCTGCCGCAGGGGCACCAAGCAGAACATTTTAGGGTTACAACCACACCTTGGGGCCTGAGGAAAATGTGCTCCCATTTACACAGCCAGGAGAAGATATTTACAGGGAAATGAATGCAGAAGAGAGACACCAGAGGAAAACTGGCACGTGATGGGATTTGCAAAGCATTGGTAGAGCCACCAGGGAGGTGAGTAGTTCTGTCCAAGGGATTATGAAGGCCCTAGTGACAGCGAAGCGGTTAGCTGTGACATAAGCCATCTTACCAGGGTAAAGGTCTAGACCAGTAACCTCCTGAGACTCCTTTTAACTCTGTCTACAGGTCCTACCCATTATTTCCTTATCTCACCATATCTGTGACCAATTTATGGTGTCCACTTCCAGGCTCCCCCATACAAGAGATGGACATAGTGGAGAGAGCCCAGCAAAAGGCCACCAGGACAGTTAAAAGACTGGACTACCTCTCCTAGGGGGAAAGGTTGAAGGAGCTGGGACTGTTCAGCCAGGAGAAGAGAAGGCTCACAGGGAGATCTCATCAATATATGCAAGTATCTGAGGGAAGGGTGCACTGCAGACAGAGCCAGGCTCTTTTTAGTGGTGCCCAGTGCAAGGAGAAGAGGCAATGGGCACAGACTGGCACACAGGAGGCTCTGTCTGAACATAAGGAAACACTTTTTCACTGTGAGGGCGACTGAGCACTGGAACAGGTTGCCCAGAGTCTCCATCCCTGGAGACATATAAAAGCCACCTAGACATAGTCCTGGGCAATCTGCTCTGGGTGGCCCTGCTTGAGCAGCCGGGTTGGCGAAGATGACCTGTTGAGGTCCCTTCCTACCCCAACAGTCTGTGATTTCAGATAATACCTGCTAAGCCCCAAGTTCTAACCCACAGTACTCACTGCCAATCACCAGCTCTTCTGAAACAGAAAGCTGTTCCACTGGGTTGTTCTGCTGGGAATGATCTTGCTCTTCTTCTGGCTGGTTTGCAGGCATTTGTGGAGATACATGAGACATTCTGTCAACATGCTCAGGGTCAGGGATGGAGTCCTCAGAATATCTTCGGGTCCTTCCCTCGTTTGTGCCCACACTGGGTACCAGCCTTGCTTCTTCTTGAGCTGCACCAGGAATCTTGCTTCTCTGTGCTGAAGTTTTTGAATTCGACAGCGGCAGTTCAAGAGCAGAAAGCTTATTCTGGCTCTGCTCGTCGGCCTGAGGCTGCACAAAGAGCTCCGTGTTACTCAGCATGATCTCCGCATCGCTCGTCAGCGTGGCTGTTCGAAACCCAGACGCTGTTTGTGAGTCCACAAGGTAGTTCTGTGCTGTTTAGAAAGTTTTAAAACAAGTTCTATGTGAAAAACTCTCCAAGGTCACAGGGACACACATTTATTACCAGGACTTGCATAATTCAAAATTTAAGTCATTCAACCTAATTTTACTCATCCTCCACAGATCAAACACTGAAACTGCATCACCACACTTCAGTGCCCCAACTTTCCCAAAAAATCCCTACCAAATCACAACCCCAGCACCCACAGTTATGAACAGGGTCCCAAACAATTCCTGTGGTATACATCACCAAACTGGGTGGACCACATGTTTAAGTGCATAGAATCAGAGCAACTACAGATGCAGAGCCTCATTCTAATCCTGCCTCCCAAATTACACTGGACTTCTGTGAATGTGCCAGGAACCTTCACACTTCAGTTACTGCTTCTAGAAGTCACCTATATAAGGCCCTCCCCCCCGAAACAGAAGTAACAACACAAAAGAAACCTTTTCTCTTCAGCATTTTCTCTTCCACTCCATCTTCAAAAGCCTCCACGTCAATCGCTTTGCGACTTTTTGGCCTTCGGAGCAAGCCTCTCTTCTCAACCGTTTCCGGTGGGATCAAGGAACCAAGAGACATGCGAAGAGATCTGCAAAAAGAGGAGAGAATAAATAATTTTCTAAACTTACACACTCCCCTTTTGCCCTCAGATTACACAGACAGCACCACTAGCAGTGAGATATTTCACAAATCCCCTAGCTAGGGGGAATAACCCCCCCCAAATTCTTGAAGATTATATGCCAGTCTACGTTAAATAGTTTAATTTCATGATATCACCTAACATCAGGGTATGTATCAGAGATCAGGAAACAGACTGGTTTACAGGCTCCAACCCTGAGAGGGCTGCAACAATGTAACTGACAAAAAGTTCATGAATGTGAAAAATTTCAAATAACCAAAAAAAAGGGAAAACTGAAGTCTGAGACTAAAGATGCCCTCTCGCTGCCAGCGGGGTGGCAGGAGGACTGCAGAACAAGTTAAATTAAGCTGCTCAGTATCAGTATTCACAGCACAGCTCAGCTACCAACTAATTTTTTTTGAGATGGGAGCTAAGGTAGCAATAAAGCACGGGAAAAGATGTATCTCAAAGTATTTTGCATCCTATAGAGACTGGCCATGCTCAGCTACCTCCTGTCCCTCTCTTCAGGCAGCCTCATCAAAAGGGAGGCTCAGAGGATTGAAAGGGAGTAAAATGAATCGGCATGGGACCACAGGCAAGGGCTGCAGTGAGAAAGGTGAAATAAGTTGCTAACCATGGCCAAGATCATTAGCAAAGTACACAGACAACTCAGGAAAATAAGTTTTTTGACTTGCTAAAAAGCCTTTAAAGTCCAGGAAAGTTGGACAAAAGACTGCATAGATGCAACTGAGGAGATGAGTCAATTAACAGGCAGAGATTATACTCTAAGGTACATGGTGTGCTGATTTATTGTTGGCAACATGAGGATGAAAGGAAAAAAGGAACAATCCTAGTAATTAACAAGAGGAGCAAGAGTTGCAAAATGAGCTAGCCCAACCCAGGCATACAGCACAGAGCCACAACTCTGACAATCACAAGGTATGTGGTGCTACCACCTTCAAATTCCACCCCCAGAATGGGAGGTGGCTGTGGTATCACTAACACAGGTCTTCAGCATGAACCCAGGTCTCTGTACTGTTCTTCACAACCACAGAGGTGACAACCCAAGGCAGCCACAGTTGGGGCAGCCAGAAGCTGAGACATGTTAGTTTAAACTCACTGAGCCAAAGCAGTGCTGTCCAACGTTGACTGAGCTAGAAAAAAAGAATTGTGACACATCAGTTGAGAAATTACAGCAGCTGAGAAATTACCCTCTACACAACAGGCTGCAGGAACACCCCAATGGATCTTCCCCTTTCTCGAGCCAGTTACACTATGATCCTCAAAGTTACATTTTGGTGAGAACAGAATTAGCTGACAGGTTCACTTTACACTTTCTTGTCTGCATTTCAGAACTAAGTATTAGAATCCTAATAAGCAATTTCTGAAAGGGTAATAAAACAGTTATTCCAAAGATAATTTAATACAGCACATGCCCTCACACTCAATTATATTAATCTTACGACATTAATAGCAAGATGTTAGGCTAGGGCCTCAGTCACAACCACCCTTCAGCAACCCAAACCAAACATTAAAGCATCTGGAAGCTTTAGAAGTGCAGATAACTACACCACAGATTGCTGGTGAATCTGTAAGTCAAACCTGATGGACTCACAAAGTCCCAAAAATCTAAAAGCAGATCTGGAGAGCAGTGAAACAATCATGCTCATACTGGAAATACTCTGCTTTTAGAGAGCTGCCTGCATCTTAGCAGAACATGCTCAGACCAGGTAGCAGGCTAAGGAAAGACAAGTTGATTGTTTCTGACCACAGGTGAGTCAGGCTGGGATTCAGCTCCAGATTACAATATCCAAACACAGGTGTGTATGTGTGTCCCCATTACACTCAAGCACAATTAATCAAATGTAGGTGTCTGCTGTAGGGTGAGCTGAACCACCATCCATACTCCACAGACTACATCTCCCCAAAACTTGAGGGGGACATCAGTTACCTAGTGCACACACAGGCACAGCGTCTGTAACTGGGAGCTGAGGCACTGGTGGCTGTAATTTGGAGCTGAATCCCACCCTTGAATTCCACTCTGGTTGCTAGTGCCAAGAGGGTACACAAACCATGGTGAGGTGTTTTACCTACCTCTGTTAAACTGCAACCAAAATGAAAGTTCTATTTATTAAATCTGCAACACTGTTTAAAGGGAAGATTTATTCCAATATAAAATACTATTTATTTTATCAAATTACAAGACCCTTTTTTCTTCAAACAGGGACTTTATAACTTATTTCATATCACTGCAACAAAAAGTACACAGCTTGTTCTATTTTCAGGTTTCTGGAACTGAGGGGAAGACAGGGATTGCTTCCTTTGGAGACACTTCAGAACTCCAAGAGCACCAAGTTGGAAAAATAGTCAAGAAGTTGCATCCAGTCAGGGCAGAGCCTGTAACTCGGCTCAAAAAGATCTATTTTCAGTTTGATAGGAGGGGGTTTTACCTCTCTGCTCTCCCTTTGCACTAGGTACTGCACTCTTGCTTCCAAACACACAACTGCCCAGCTGAGAAATTACCAAGAGCTAAACTGCAGCAGATGAAAATCAAGGGACAGTAAATGCTGAGCAAGGCACTTCCTGACTGCAGCCTCACCTTGGTTCTGGGGAAGTCGTTTGTCTGCTGCTCTCTCAAACTCAGAAATGCTGAGTTTCTTCCTCTTCTTAGACACGTGGAACATGGTGATAGACGTGTTCTCAGGAACAAGGTCTGGCAGCTGCAATTCCACCCTAGCAATACAAAGCAAGCCTTTAACAAAGGACAATGTTATCACTTCGCTGCCCTAGAAAGGTCCTTGTAACGGTGCTGAAAAGCAAATTAAAATTATTTGTCCTAGCTGCAGCAGAAATAAGGAATTAATCGGTGAGGAGCTCAGCAAATGCAGGAATGTGTCACTCATACTATATCAAAGTAAATTTCACAAAGAGAATCAAAACTTGAGTGTATATTCAAAACAACAGGGCTGAGAAAGGTCAGAGTAGAGTAAAAGCTTGGACTTCAACAAGCTCCTTCGCTCTCTTCTCCCACCACCACACAACAGCAGAATCACAGACTGGTGGGGTTGGAAGGGACCTCAGGAGATCATCCAGTCCAAACCCCCCGAAATCCCTACACCAGGTTGCACAGGAAAGTGTCCAGGTGGGTTTGAACATCTCCAGAGATGGAGACTCCACACCCTCTCTGGGCAAATCAGGTTTGCCCATCGTTACAGTGTAAACAAAAAAGCCGTCAGCATGAAACCACAGTAGGTACCACAGAGCACATGGAACAGACACAGAACAGGTCAGTCAGGCCCTGGATCAGGTTCAGAAAGTAAGTTTCTAAGTTGTTTTCCCCCTTTACAGAGAAGTTCCAAGAATCCCCTCTCATGCAGGTCCCAGTGAACTGCTGCCAGCACCCCAGTGTGACCAGCAGAACCGGAGCAGAGGGTCCCCGCCACAGCCCAGAGCCCGGGCCTCAGCACACATAGCATCCTGTCTCCTTGGCTGCAACAAATGGAGCTCCAACCTAGCAAGCATGGTAAGGTGACCATCTTCATGGGCCTTTTCCCCTTACAAAATACATTCTCTACAAGCCCCAAAGGGGGCTCAGCTTCATGACTGTATAATGAGCATAATGGAAGCTTAATGATTAGAATTAACCGGCTGTAATGGGGAACAAAGGTAGAGCAGTGGGGAAAAAAAATCTTCCATCTATGCTGGAAGATGCTACCACAACCAGGGAAAGCAGTGTCTTCCCAAATCCAAGAAAGTTCATGTCAACTAAACAAGGTGGAGAGGGAATTTTTATTTTTTTTAACAGACTTAAAATTTTTTAAAACCTTTAAAATATTTCTTTAAAGTCTGTGCCTGTTTAACTTCAAAACCTAGCCAACATATGGAATCTAAAGCCCTGCAAAGATCCAACTCTTGTCTTTTCATTTAAGAAAGGCTGATGGGAAGCACGTTCAAAGAACTTACAACAAGCAAGATCAAGAGGGAATTCAAATAACATTGCTCATCTTTTTTCGAATTAAAAAAACCCCACAAATAAATAAGCTACCACACTTACTGAAAACTCAGATGTTTCTTCCTGTATTAAAAAACCAGAAAGACAGAAGTTTGCTTAATATTTAACACCACTTATTTAAGGTTGCTTATAGTCAATGCAAAAAGTTTAGCTATAAAGACAAAGCAAAAGAAATCACATTATTTACAACAGTCCATTTGGCAGTAAATAAAAAGTGTTGTGACAAAACTGGCTAAAGCAAACAAAGACCTGTCACCACTACTGGTTGTCCTCTAGTTCGTACCAAAATGGAAGAAAACAAGCAGACTCCAGCCTCTCCAATTGGGTCAGACCTAGTAACTTAAAATATCAGTGGAAGCTGAACGTGAATAAAAGCAACAGAGCCTCGGGCAAAGCTCACCTCCAACCACTGCAGAGGAAGGGAGTAACCCCAGCAGCCCCAAACAGGGACAAGGAGAAGCACTAACATGTAAAAAGCTGCAGCAGCCCGTGTTCTGAACACCAGACACAGCAGTGACTCGTGACACCTCAGCACCCTCAGCACACAGCCTGCAGCCTCGGGGACATACCAGAACTTCTACTTCAGTACCTGTCACAGACAACTCACAAAAGTGGTGCTTCCACCAGGAGACCGACTGTACCCACCACTCCCACTGCAAAAAGATAGTGTAAGTCAGCATTTAAGAAGAGGGACGGAGCACAAACCTGCAGTATTGACAACACCCAGCTGGGCGGGAGTGTTGATCTGCTGGAGGGCAGGGAGGCTCTGCAGAGCGACCTGGCCAGGCTGGATCCATGGGCCAGGACCAATTGTATTGAGGTTTAACAAGGCCAAGTGCTGGGTTCTGCACCTGGGTCACAACCCCCTGCAGTGCAACAGGCTTGGGGAGGATTGGGGGGAGAGATGCTGGGCAGAGAGGGACCTGGGAGGGTTGGTTGGCAGCAGCTGAACATGAGCCAGCAGAGTGCCCAGGTGGCCAAGAAGGCCAGCTGGCCTGGATCAGCACTAGTGTGGCCAGTAGGACCAGGGAAGTTCTCTTCCCCCTGCACTGGGCACTGGTGAGGCTGCAGCTCAAGTGCTGGGTTCAGTGTTGGGCCCCTGAGTCCAAGAAGGACATGGAGGTGCTGGAGTGTGTCCAGAGAAGGGCAACGGAGCTGGGGAAGGGTCTGGAGCACAAGTGTGCTGAGTTCCCTTGTGGCTGAGGGAACTGGGGGTGTTGAGCCTGGAGAAAAGGAGGCTGAGGGGAGACCTTGTGGCTCTGTCCAAGTCCCTTGGAGGAGGGTGGAGAGAGGTGGGGGTGGGTCTGTTCAACCAAGGCCCAAGGGACAGGACAAGAGGAAATGGGCTCCAGTTGTGGCCAGGGCAGTTGAGATGGGATGTGAGGAAGAATTTCTTTGCTGAAAGGGTTCTGAGGCATTGGAAGGGGTTGCCCAGGGCAGTGGTGGAGTCCCCATCCCTGGAGGGATTGAAGAGTGGTGTAGACATAGTGCTGAGGGACATGGGTTAGTCATAGGGGACTGGTCAGTGTTGTGTTCATGGTTGGACTCAATGAGCTTAAAGGGCTTTTCCAATCCAGGGCATGCTGGGATTCTGTGTTTACTGTTCAGTCCCAGCAATTCCTATTCGCCTTTTAAAGCTGGGGAGGTATTTCTGAAAATCCCACCTGAGAGAACACAAATCTGATCACTGAAACAGAAGTAGAGAAATCCCGCTCCCCAAACCCATCACAGGAACTGCAGCAACAGCTGGCAGCGTGAAAAATAAGAGTAAAAATGTAAAAAATTTACTTACAGACTGGAAACCCTCTTAGATGGGAGTTCTGATCGAGCTGCTTCTGCTTCTTCATGCTGAGATATGTGAGGTGCCAGAGGTGAAACTTGTGGTTCTGCCAACAAACCAAAACATTTCCTTTCCACAACCCAATCCAGCAAGGATACCAAACACAGCAGAGTGTCACATCTACGCTACCCTCTGTAAAGAACATTTCTTAACAGGTTAAAATAAAGACCTGGTGAAAACTGCTGGGGTTCTGCTCCTAGGAAAGCTGGCGCCCTCGGTGACAAACGGCAGCATGGGGGTTCCGTAGGGCAGCAGGGCTGAGCCGAGCTCTGCAGCAGGGAGTGCCTCTATGATTCACACCTGATCCGACAGCTGAAGGCAGCAGGAAGGTTACACGCTCGCTCACCAGGACAAGATCTTCAAGGACACGTTTGCATCAATGCAAGACCTGGTCTTTAAGAGAGAGCTGGATCGCATCACCTCCTGCTGCTGCTGCTGCAGCGACTCCTCTTTTACATAAATCAGTCACTCAGCAGTCTGGATTGCTGCTCTGCCTAACAGGGCAAGAGTAACAGGCTGCAAGAGAACACCTCGTGTTCTCCACTCCTCCAAAGCCCTATCCTTCTGTTCTCTGTTGTCCTCAAAAAAAGGTACTTACGGGTCCGGATGATTCTCTTGAGCACAAGCCGTGGTGTGTCATTGTCAAGATCAGGGAACACAGTTGGTCTCTGCTTCAGCAAGGTCCTTCTGACAGAACTGTTCTCCTTTCCTGAATCAGAGACGGCCTGAAGAGGGAAATCAGAAACCACTCAATCAGAATCATATTTTCATCATTAAAGATGGATCTTAGCATCAAAAACATTCGATATCTGTCTTCTAATAGAAATCTAAGTTAGCTAGCACGGAACATTTTCCAAATTCCCAAAAATAAATAACAGACATTTGCTTTTTAACAACGCTGGCACTTCATTTATGGGTGGGAGACAATTCCCAACAATGTATCATCGAGGTGGGTTTCAACACACAACTCTCATCGTGGACAAAAGCCTGGAGGATCTGAAAGCAGAGCCCACAGCCCTTCACCCCTCACAGCCCTGACCTACAACAACCCAAAAATGGGAAAGAGAAGAAAAACATCATTGAGGTGGAAGGTTGGAACAGCCCTGGCTGTTGGGCGAGCTCAAAATTCAAGGGTTTCGGCTGATTTTCAGGTGTAAAGGTGAACCGGGGTAAGGGAGCAGCCTTGGCTCCCTGGCCCCTCGCTTCTCCCTCGGACCGGGTGGGAATGGGTGGTCCCCTGGGTTTTTTTTAAATCATAGAATGGTTTGGGTTGGAA